TGAGAATAAAGAACGGATTGCACGTTTTTAAAAAACTGCATTATGTCCTATGGAGATGTACAATAATTAAATGTGAAGAAGAAACAATAACAAAAAGAATAAGTTGCCAATAGCTAGCAGTAGGAAGGAACAACCAAGATACAGATGGCGCCCATGAACACACTTAACGGCAGTGCACAAAATACCGCTTTGTGAAAAAGAGTGCGTCCCAAAACAAAGGGGTGATTTTAAAGAGGCAGCATCCATCTATGCTCATCATTCTCCCAGAGGCTGGCACTGAACTGGACTACGAGCACCCAATAGAAACCCTACTAGAAGTCTTACCAGACAACAGTGAAATAGTCATAACATACTGGTCAATGGCAAAAGCGCCACTATTTATGTGTCTGACACACGCTTGAAGAATGAATGAATGCCAGGCGCATGTGCGTGCGTGCCCAGGATCCGGAGAGGAGAATGGAGGAGAAGGGATTGCAGCGTGGCCATCCCCCCTGTGGAGAGTGATTTCTCGCTTTCTGTCTCTCTCTCTCTCTGTCTATCTGACAAGCGCACACACCCTATAGCAAAAACCTCTCCAAAAAAAAAAAAAGAATGAAGGAAGGAAGGAACATGTTATGGACCATTAAAATCTTAGTCTTCCAAGTCACTTCTACATCATAAGGCTGTACCAAATATGACAAACTAGATTCTCATACACAAGTCTATGACTCATCCTATCTTAAGCACCTGGCCAAATTACTTTGTTATTTGCCACCTTGCTTTACTAGCATTTAAGTAATCTAATGTAATGCAAAAAATAGCTTTAAAAATATGTTTCCAGGGCCAGCAGTTGGCATGGTGGCTAAGGTTCTGGACTCTCAAATAGCTGACTGTACTTTCAAGTCCTGGACCCAGCAGCTTGAAAACCAAGCCTGGTATGTGTGCATGCATACCCAAAATTCCAGGAAAAAAAATGAAGGAGCAGGGACTGCAGTGTGGCTATAACCCCTGTGGGATGGAGGGGGAATTTCTCACTTTCTCTCTTTCTGGCTCTGTCTCTCTCTGGTGAGTGCTGGTGAGTGCATGTTCCTTATGGCAAAAATATTTAAAAAAAAAAATTCCCTAAAGCCTTTATAGTTCCATGCAATATCAGACCTCACCTTAATGCATCATTGCCCAGGCACTATTCAGAGTAAAAGCTGGGAGGAGAGAGGGAAATGACAGTCATACCAAACCAAAACTGGTTATATAGGTATGACATCACTGTAAGTCAATAGTTTTACAAAATGATTCTGAGATTTCCTTTTTTTTTTTTTTTTTTTTTTGGAGAGAGAGGTTTTTGCTAAAGGGCGTGAGAGAGAGAGGTTTTTGCTACAGGGCGCATGCACTTGCCAGAAAGACGGAGAGACAGAAAGCAAGAAATCACCCTCTACGAGGGATGGTCACACCACAACCCCTTCTCCTCCATTCTCCTCTCGGGATGCTGGGCACACATGCACACGCCCCTGGCGTGAGTTTAAGTCAACAGGTCCATCCAGGACTTGAACCGTAGTCGACTACATGAGAGTCCAACGACATAACCATTAAGCCAACTGCTGATTCCCAGGGATTTTTTTCTTTAGGTTCAAAATACATTATACGTTTTCCAAATTATAAAAGGCTTTAAAGTCCTTTAAGTTATGGCCCCTAGATTTCAAATTACAAAATAAGATTCTAAACCTTTCCACCATCTCCTTTTCACTGTATGCTCATATGGACAGAAGTAAGGCAGTGGGCGTGTTTCCCTTTTCTATGCATGGTTTATTTTCTACAGTATTTCCTGTTTTCCAATCATGGACCTGAAAAGTTATCCTCTAAGAAGCCAAGTAATACATTAACATAGGGTTGTCCCTGTAAAATGCAAAGCTTTAGTTCAGCTTCACACTAAGATTTTGTTTTAATTGGCTCGGAAAGGGAACCAGTCAGGTACGGGCGGGCAGGAACTGGCTCTTGAGAACCAATTTGTACTCATCTCTCCCAATTCCACATTCAGGGATGTAATGTCGGGAGGTTGAAATTGACCATGCTGGGAATATTTACCCCATGGAAATTCTCAACTGCTACAACTACGAGCTTTGTTTTCTGTCCAGAGATCCAGCTTACCAGTAAAACATGGAATTTTGTTTTCTATTTCCCTATATGAAATTACTGCACAGCCAGGGTTGAGACCTACCACAAGGAAATGAAGCTACTCAATGAATTAATTTTTCAAGATTCTTACAAAAGAGTCTGCAATTATATGTTAAGCAGCCTCACTACCTGGTGCAAGTGGTAGGCAATATTTCAATGCTCTTCTGATAAACTGTATTTTTTTTAATTTTTAAAAATTATTTTATTTAATTTTATTTATTCTTACTATTTTTTTTTTTTAACCCGAGAGAGAGAGACAGAGAAGGAAAGTGAGAAAGCAAGCTGCCAGGTCCAGGATTCAAACCATGGTTGGCCATGTGGGAGTCCAGCACCTCAACCACTATGCCACTTGCTGGCCTCAATAAACTGTATTTTTAATTGACTTAAATTTTTATAGTTAAAAAAATAATTTCCTATTTTTGTATTAAAATACTAATAGACTTTGAATAACAAAATGAATTTTACAAGTAATCTAGTCCTAGATTTACAAGTAATCTAGTTAAAAGAGAAACTACTAAGATTATAGAAACTGAGACGCACTTATTTATGTCCACTAAACTTAGTAGAGGCAGTGCCAGGATTATAATCTATGTCTTCTACCTTGCCATCGAATTTCCACATGGCTTTATACGTTGAGTTTGTTTTTAAACAGAAAAGAAAGAAAGAAACAGAGATTCATTATGACTCTCCAGTTCTCATCCCAATAAGCTCAATGACACTAGAAAAACTCATGCTTTCAAGGGAAAATGTCAGCACACAGCTGGAATGAAATAATCAGTGTACACAGTCTTCAAAATGTTCATGGAAAATGCATAGCTGAAAAAACGATGAGTGAATTTCAGAAATGTTTTTGCACAAAAATAAACGCACACTTTAATTCTATTCTTTCACACACTTCTTGAAGTCCTCTCGTAATTCTGTACCTCATCTTTTGAGCACAGCAAATATGTGTATTGAAATCATCTCTCGTGAAAAGAAAGCTTCCCTTCCCACAGGATGTTGAACAATTACCATAGATTAGAGTTACTGCTATCACAGTTTCCTAATCTTGTGGACTAATGAAAAAATAATACATTACTGGTTGGTCTTTTTAACTACAACAAAGAGAAGATATAAACACCATACCCATGCAAGAAGCAATAGATTTCTTTTCACTGTTCCACAATATCCTAACATCCCCACAATTATAAGGAAACAGCAAACAGCAATCATGACCGGATGAACCACAGGAAAGTAAGTCAAGATGACGGCCTCCTCCACCCTGGAAGAGAAAAAAGAATGTCAAATTTAAAAAAAAAAAAAAAATGCACCCAAAACGTAGTTCAAGACACAAATGTGATTTGTGTTAATAATTCTTCAGATCATCATGCATCAAGACAGTGACTACACTGTGATTTTTCAAAATCACTGTGCTCTTTTTGTGCTTTTTGGCTTGCTTACTTCGTTTCTGTTTTGTTTGCCATCCCGGAAATGTCCAGTTTGTACCTACTGCCACCTGCTCCCCTCTAAGACCTTTGGAACACCTTCATGAGAACGCTAGAATATACAAGTATCTGAGACAAAGTTTGCCACCACAAGAAAATTTTTTCCAAATAATTGTGGAAGAGCACTACCATCGAAATAGCTGGGGCAAAGTTACTTCTTTATTATTATTACTTATTATTATTTATACATTCAATTACTATACACCATTTAGATTTTTTCTTCTTTTTTTCTTCTTTGAGTTGTTTTTGCTATAGGGCACGTGTACTGACAAGAAAGAGAGAGAGAGACAGAGAGACAGAAAGCGAGAAATCACCCCCAGGGGGGATGGCCACACCACAATCCCTCCGTTCTTTTCTCGGGATCTTTAGCATGCACGCACATGTGCCCAGTGTGAGTTTAAGCCACCGGGTCCAGGACTCAAACCACAGTCAACTACATGAAATTCCAGCGACATAGCCATTACGCCAACTGCTGGTCCCACATAATTTAGATTTTTTTTTCAATTATTTTTTTTTTTGAGAGATTTTTCACTGTAGGGCGCGTGCGCTCGCCAGACAGACAGAGAGAGACATAGAG